GGACACGGGAAAACACTTTTTTGATTTACAGTCACGGCCACCGCCATCATTCCTGCCCACCATTCGGAAGTGCTTCATCCCTCCTGCCCATAAGGTTACCACCTACGGACATTAGTTGGTCCTGCTGGAAGGAGGAAAATGCCATGTGTTGGGTTGTAGCCCTCGAGGGGTGGTGTGTGTGTGTGTGTGTGTGTGTGTGGTGTGTGTGTGTGTTGGTGTGTGTGTGTCGTGTTGGGTGTGTCGTGTGTGTGTGTGTGTGTGTGTGATGTGCATCCTTTCAATTACCGCTCTGCTCTCGAGCCGCCCGGCAGACTCCGGCCGCGCGCCCCCAACGTCCTGGCTCTTTCCAGCCTGATCTGGCCACCAATCTGCCGTCGTCGCCCACTTCCAGCCTCCCTGTAAGCCGCGCCTCACAACTGGAGTCCTACGCATAAAAAAAAGAACATTGATTTTAACTTCCATAGATCATCTGGGAGAAGCTCTTATGCTCTTTGATTTCTGCAAATAATAAATAAGTCAACACAGAGGGAGGTCAGGTTACACTTGACAGAACTACCAGTGTGTGGGTGCTTCATCGACTGAACATGTAGGCCTATGAATGAAACCAAAGAAGAAGCCTAAGGCAACACAAGGTAACTTCCAAATATAAGAATGTTAGCTCATCAGCCAGGCCCCTCAGAAAGATAGGAGACCAGCACACACCACACACCACTGATGGTGGGCTGCCATTTCTCCTCCCAGCACAGAGAGAAAACACACTTCAGTCGTGCTGATATTTAGGCCTGCGACTGGCCTTCGTTTCCTAATAGACAGTCGAGGAGACAATCAGCCATTTAGCGTAATACCATCCAGCGCCCCGCAGAGAGAGCCCTCCATTACTCTGCACAGCCTCTCAAACACTCCAAGCACTGCATCATCACACTCACGAAGACCACAAACACCGCGGGCTATTTTCGTACAAATACAAAGTATTAAGCGGCACACTATACTGCAGACCTATCTTTTTACTCCACCCAACACCCTCTACACTGGCAGTATTAGGGATCCGATCTAAACTCTCTGCAAAAAGGCCTCACTCACCATAACTCTTTGTACAGATGGCATGATCTTCACAATGCTACCCTTAGTCGTCCCATGTAATGTCCATTACCATGCTCAATTTCATTCACAGCCAGCTGCTCTTACCCGCAGACACACACACACACACACACACACACACACACACACACACACACACACACACACACACACACACACACACACACACACACACACACACACACACACACACACACACACTATGAATAGAAAATGTATTCAAAATTGAGTGCAAATGTATTAGCATCAAAATATACCTAAACACACCTGGAATATATAAGTGTTTGGTTAATTGACTAGTTGATAAACCTCTTTATTTGTGTTTAAAGGAGACAGACATTAGTTTACCATTTAGTAAACTGATTTTGATTTCAGAGGACAGTTTCAGTCTTCAAGAGAAATTAGTTTTGGTTTAGGAAACCGTCAATTTTAGAGGACAGTATATGGGGTTTTCCAGGAATATAGTTATGGCTTTTGGGTGTATTGATTTAAGAAAACAGTCAATATTTCAAGGACCGAGAGTTTAGATTCTAGTGGACAGTGGAGTTTTGCATTAGAGGAATGTAGGAATATAGTAGGAGTGGTTTTTGGAGACAGTGATTTAAGAGGACAATATGTTAGGGTGTGCTGCATTCAGGTGTTTCCCAGCTGTTGCAGGAGGAAGGAGGCAGAGGGTCTGTCAGACGGCCTCATCCTGACCGGGTTCATCTACTTCCTGTGGGAAAAGACACACACTTTGTTACAACCACATGGAAAATAAACTCTCTGAAACTCCTCCATTCTTCAGGCCAAATAAATTGTAATCTATCCAATTCTGTCTTTATAAACGTACCTTTTTTCCAGCTTTGTGTGGCGTCATCTCCACGGTGTGGTTCCCAATCGGCTCTCACCAGAAGGAGAATTTGATGTCGTTCGGGTTCTCTCTGTATGCCGGCTGGGTGGGTTCCGGTCTCTGCCTCCTGGGGGGCATCACCATCCTGTGCTGCCAGGGCACTGACCCCGGGACCCCCGGCCGCGACAACAGCTTCTACTACTCCCGTCAGAGGGGCACCGCCACGCCGCTGGACCCCCCCGCCAACCACGCCAAGAGTGCACGAGTGTGATCACTGAAATTGATCAGCATAAGACTGTGCATCTTCTTTTCTTACACTTAGATTTGATATGTGTGCATGTAAGGGTTTATTTCCAAACTTCTTTTGGGGCACAAATAATCACATTGATCAAATTGTTGTATTCTATGCACAGATTTTAAAGTTTTATCAGCCAATAATGTCAGCCAAAAATGTTGTTTTTAATGTTATCTGTCACATTTTTGTCATTGGTAAATGTGTTGTCTGGTAGAATGTTTGGAAACGTTTAACTAGCGAATGTTTTCATCGGTTGAATTTCTTATTTGTTATTATTACATTCCCATTTAATGAAACTGCATTGTCACTGACATTACAAGAGAGATGTATTTTCTCCAGAATTACAATTCAATTTACGTATCAAGCCGCAATGCAACAGTGTCCTAATCTGCATTCTCTCTAATATCCAGCAGGGGGCAACTCCACTGGTTGATTGTACAGAAGTCTATGAAAAAATGACTGACTTGATTTATTACATAAGTAAAGATCTTCCTGATAAATGTATGGTCTCAATCTTTAGTTTTAAGTCTTCTTCAATACAGCAAGATGTTAATGTAGTACATTTTGGACCCATTCAGAGTGAAATAGATGACAAAGCAAAGTATGCTTTAGGACGGGGCTACATTGTGATTGATAGGTCAATCTTTTGCAAAAATGACCCCTTTCTCGTGTCATCGAGAATGCAGTTTCATTGAATGAATGATAAGGTATTTTTTTTAAAGTTTAACATTTTAAGAATCTGGGACTTTCATAATGATTTTTATACTTTAAATAGCATGAATACATTTTGAAAATATCACCTGAAGTATAAAGAATTTAATTCATTTGTTGTTACATGTTCTCCTTTAATTCATGTACCAATAACTGTATAACCTTTATTTTAATTGTAGCTTCTTGATCTTAACAGCATAATCAATATGTATCAACTCTAGTGTAAGATTGTTGGTTGGTGCAATACAAGTTTTGAATAAATAACTTCACTCAAAATGAGACATTTATTCCTCATAACTCATTTAGACACATTAACCCAATCATCAGTTTGAAGTGCACGTGATAAAGCAAACACTCTTTCAAAAAAAAACATTCACTCAGCACTCTAACACAA